CCCCCCCCCCACACGGTAAGTCGACTACCAGACCGTACTCCCCCTCCCAGGTCCCCACGAGGGCAGAATGGCCATTCAAGATAATAGTACACATACCAGGGGCAGTGATGATCCATTTTCAAAATACACCTGAGAACAGGGGAGAGACGGGTGTCAGACACAGGGAGCGAATAAGGGGCAGAAAAAAGAAAGAGATGTCACTCACACGTCACAGGCGGAGCAGTGGTGACAGCGGTCGGGTTTGATCACCTGACAGCGGTCACAGTACCGGATGGCTGCAGGGCAGAGAGAGAGACAGCAGGTCATTAGTGCAGCAGGAAGTGACATGGGTGAGGGCATTAGGGTTAGGGGTATATACTGACCTCTGGTGCCAGTGCGGGTGTAGATGGGAAGTTCTCTGGCTGCTCTCCTCAGGATTTCCTGCTGAATCTCGGGACGCTCTGCAGTCTCATACTGCTCCTTATCCACTTTGGAGAGACTGAACTGTACAAGGGAGAAAAACTATATTTACTGAGGCACTACCTCACACAACACCCTGCATGGTATCACACACAGCATACTGGACACCGCCCAACACGCCACTCCGCACGCCGCACGCAGCCCAGCCCAGCCCAGCATGCCGCACGCAGCCCAGCCCAGCCCAGCCCAGCACGCCACTCGCAGCCCAGCCCAGCCCAGCATGCCGCACGCAGCCCAGCCCAGCCCAGCACGCTATACTGCCCAGCACGCCACTCCACACACAGCCCAGCACACTACGCCGCACGCAGCCCAGCCGCTACAGCGCCCCCAAAGGCTTACCTCTTTGGATGGGTTAGCTGGTTTGGTGAAGATGGTCATCCAGTATGACCACACAAACATGAAGAAGAAGAGGTGGAACCCTGTCAGATAGACGACTGGAAGAGAGGCAGACAGTGAGGGTGTGGCAGCAAGTTTCCCCTGGATGCACGCAGATGAGAAGCGCTTTCTTAGATAAAATGTCCATCCACAGAAGCGGATGGAAGCGTCACGCTGTGGTCCATTTCTCACAGGCTAACGCACAGTACAGCGTCGTCTGAGGACTTAACACTGAATTTAAGGAGCATTCAACACCCACCCACGAGAGCCCCACCCTGCACACAGAACGTCACTCACTTTGCTCTTCAGTCTTTGGGATTGTGTCTAGGGAGAACAGAGAGAATTATGATTATATGAAGACTGAGGCATTACATTCATTTTTAATGTAATTAATTTAAACATATTTAAGTCATAAAGCAGCCACATTATCCCCTTCAGTATCACCCTATACAGCTCTATCATCCAAAATGCTCACTGCGTGGCAGCCAGAGAAATCTCTTCATTGCTGGGAACACTGTCATTAATGTCTCTGGCAAGTGCACACACCTTCACCATGCAGTGGATACCACACTTTTCTTCACTATAAGGTCCACATACCCCCTTCTTTGCCTCACTCCTTGCATTACTCATTGCACCGTCCACTGCACTCCTCCCTTTATTCACTGCACCGTCCGCTGCACTTCTTGCATTATTCACTGCATTTTATTAACACTTCTGACAGCTGCTGTGAGACGCTGCTGCAAATTTCCTGGCCATTTGAGCAGAACGGACTGGAGAAGCAAATGAGCAGCAGATAAAGACGGATACAGATACAGCGCTACAGACACGACATCCATTTCAGCAGCACAGCTCAATCGCTAACTACTTATCTACCTACCTACCTACCTATCTATCTACCTATGTAACGAACTAGCTAAGCACCACCCCCTGATCGCTTTTACCGGGCGCAGACTAGCTTTAGACGGACTCACAGACACACAACTCGACGACGTAGGCGTAATAGGACCAGCACACAACCAGGACGATGAACACGACTGGGATCCAGGACAAACTCCGCTGACAGCACCGTATAATGTGAGACGGCGCCATGTTTAATCCGTTAGAGGAGTTCGCCGGTCATGTGACATCGGCTAAACAAAGCAGCCATGTGACATCACAACACACCCTCCCCCCGAGTCACACATAGTGTCCCCTTGCCTCCAGTGCTGAGCAGGAACACTGGATAAAGATGCATAACACATCGAACAATAATATTAATAATAATATGAATAACAATAATAATATTGATAATAATATTAATATCATTACTATTATTAATAGTATTATTATTAATAATAATGTTATTAATGCTAATATTATCAATAACAATATTATTGTTATTATGGATCATAATAATGATAATGATAATAATGATAATAATGTTGTAATTCATGGTCAGGGAGAGATTTCATGAAGGCTTCTGATGCACAGGAGGGCAGATCAAGCACGTGAAGAGGAGCTGATAGGATTAACATTAGTGCAGTGCCTGTCCGCTCGGCCAGTGGGAAGAGTGATGTAGTCATGCAGATGTTCAGGATTTTGGACTATTTCTGTGTAAAACGTAAAGACTTTAAGACCCAGAACATGGGCTGTGGTGTGGGCAGCACCAACGCGGACTGGATGGGCTCCTTGTGCCCCATCCTCTGCACCATGCCCCTGAAGTACCTCGCAGTGCCAGGTGAGTGTGTCCGTCGCGCAGGTGAGTAACACTTCATTTCCCTACGGACTGAGCAGAGCAGGCAGCCAGTGGGGTGAAAATAATCTGCGTGACTATGAGGAAAAGCAAGCTGAGCGCACGTGACCAGTTCTTGGTCATTTTTTTAAATCCGGAGTTCCTAATACCTGTGTCTGACATGGTGCTTGTCTGTAATGGGCTCCAGTGGTGCCCTGGTTGGAAATTAGCATTACCCTGCATGCCGCAAATGGATCAGCCCTCAGAGCATGCTGATTGCCTGCAGATGAGCTTTGCTCAAACCGATCCTTCATTTTAAATGCCCTATGTGGGTCACTTTAGCTATGATGTTCCTCCGTGCATATCTCCTGCATCTGTGCCTGTCCTTGTTGCAACAAAGGTACAATGACAAATCAAACACAAAGCCGTCTCTGCCTAAGATGAAGTTTGATCAGCCCCAGTCCCTCACCTGGGCTGCCAAAGGTCAGTCAAACCCATGGCATTTGAACCTGACTGCACGCAGCCACCCAGTTTTCTGGAAGGCTATGTGCAGAGACAGTTGTTACGCTGATCGGCACACTTACGCAGAAGCACTCACCCGCACATACACACACTGTTAGAACTTCACATTGATTTTCAGCTTAACTCTGCCTTAAAGAATCTCAGAACACTTTTAGTTTTCTTACACTAGTGGCCAAAATTGTGGAAACACTTGCAGTTTAGAGATAGCAGACCTTTATTCCAGTTACTCCAGTTTAAACGTCCAAAGTATGATATTTGTAAACATTAACAATTTAACAATTTTTAAAGCGTAATGCCAAAAATGTTATCTGTCTCCACAATTTTGACTATTAGTGTAAACATCGACTCACTTTGAGGACATACACCTCAAGAGGTTCATTCTTTAAGGTTTCAGGTCTGTTCTTTAAGGTTTACGATTTTTAAGAAAAATGATTGCACAAGGTTAGGGAAACATGTACACATTTACAGAAATACACGAGCTATTTTATCAGACAGAAGTAGACGTCAGATGGTTTTGTGGTCAGCCCAGTCATCTGTGTCTCCTGGGTTCACAAAATGAGGTGAATATGTGCTCTGTGAGTGTTTAGATGTCATGGTTGTCTGCACCTTCGCCTTTATGTGTTCTGCTCCTGGATAATATGGGGATTTCAGGCCGTAGTTTCTTATTGGCTGCAGCTGACCTGAATCCCTGCTGCACTTATTTGCATAGTTGGATCAAGCAGACTTTGCTCTTGTTTACATCCCCTGGAAGGTCATGAACCACATAAGGTAGATTTCTAGTACAATTTTCAACTGCAGTGAAGAAAAGGTAAGAACAAGCTATTATCCAATCAGAAGCAGGAGAATGTCAATGCCAAAGCAAAAACAGAGTAGAGATGCTGGGAGTTGATTGGCTGGACTGAGACACCTGACGGGGGGAAGCTCCAATCACAGGCTTGCTACTGTAGTTGTATTCTAAGTGGGCCAGCTGCTGAGTGAGTGGACAGTAAGGCAGTCTTATGTACCACAGGGTCGCACGATTCCTTCAGCTTCTGGGTGGATGAAAAAGCTCCCGTGGCTCCAGACCAGACAGCTGTGGTCAAACATCTGGTAGTCATCTTTCGCCTGCTGGCCAAGAAGGTGATGAAGAAGTGGTCCATGACCCAGAGCCTGACCTTCCGCGAGCAGCTGGAGGGGGGCATCCGCTACTTCGACCTGCGCGTGTCGTCCAAGCCGAGCGAGCCGGGCTATGAAGTCTACTTCATCCATGGCCTCTACGGGCACCGGGTGCGAGACGGCCTTGGCGAGATCGACCGCTTCCTTGGCGAGCACCCCAAGGAGGTGGTCTTTCTGGACTTCAACCATCACTATGCCATGAGTGAGGACCACCACCGCTACCTGATCGCCACGCTACAAGAGGTGTTTGGCCACAAGCTCTGCAAGGCTAATGTTGTAGAGGAGATCACGCTTGACTTCCTCTGGAGGAACGGGTACCAGGTGGGAGAATGCACCTCATCACTAGACACCAGGCAGTTATGGCATCTTTTAGGTAGCAATATGTTATTTAATGAAGTTCTGAAGACTATATGGGAGCAGCAAGTGAAGTGATGAAGGTCTTCCTGTTCAGGTCACTCTACAAAGTGCCAGGTGACCATCTTGATATTTTTCATGTCCTTTTCATGATTCTTATAGACATCACTCACAGGAGGCCACTAGACCTTCTGTAAACCTTCTCTCACAGGTCATCGTGTTCTACCACCACCCCTGGGCAGAGAAGCGGCCATTTCTCTGGCCAGGCAGTAAGATCCCAGCTCCCTGGGCCAACACGACCGATGCCTACAAACTGATCCAGTTCCTGGAGACCACCCTGGGGGAACGCGCTGAATATGGCTCCTTCCATGTGTCCCAGGCCATCCTCACCCCCCGTGTGAAGACCATCATCTGGGGTCTCATCCAGGGCCTTCGTGACCACTTAGTGGAGAGGTGTGTTTCATATCAGTGGAGTTTACCTGTGTGTATTTGAACTCTGGTGTATACAGTGTGAAGAACATGCAAATGCCCAGCAACAAAACAGCTGCATGAATCAATTCACTTGGCTCAATAAACACAGTGCAATTTAATCAAAAAAAGCTAAGTGATGAAACCTTTTATTACTCTCAGTGAGTTTCTGAATCTGACTGCTTGTGGGAGTTTTACTTACACAAAAATGTTCTGAAGGCAGAAAGAAAAATTATTGGTTCAGAGAGATAACCAATCAGATTGTAGAGGAGGTGGGTCTAAGACATCTGATTGGTTGGTCCCACCTCCTCTAGTTGCTTGGTCCCACCTTCTCTACTGTCTGATTAGTTGTCTCTCTGCCCTCAGAACATTTTTGTGTAAATAAAACACCCACAAGCAGTCTGACTTAGGTTCATGAAAATGACACGAACATGGGAAATCCGTCAAAGAAATGATGTTTGTGAGTGAGTTGCTCTGTGTATGCCTGAGTGTTTGAGTTGGCCCCACTATCCATCCATTTGCTAATGAACATTCCTTCTCGCTTGCTCTGCAGAAACCTCCCCACCATCATGACCTGGGTGGAGGCCCAGAAGCCAGGAATCAATGGGGTCAACATCATCACCTCTGACTTTGTGGAACTGGTGGACTTTGCTTCTACTGTTATCAGGCTGAATGACCTTCTGCTGCCTGACCTTCCTCTCACGTGACCTGGAAGCTGAAGCCTGTCATCATGGCGATGTGCCTCCTACCCAGTGCTGCTGTGGGGTTGCTGGTGCTGATGATACTTGACAGCAAATGTCTGAAGGCTGCGTGCTTCAGGTGTTAGGCATGGATCTGTCTGTAGGGATACCATAGTAACATAAATCTGATAGGTTCAGCCAAGCAGGTAGACTCAGTACAGTCAAGCCTCAGCCTGGATAATAATGATCCGCATAATGATCTGCACCGAACCTCCCTTTCCGAAGCTCCACAAACTTTCATGAACACATTTTATTAATCTCCTTCATTGGGGGGCTCCTGCTAAGGACCCCCTCACTATCTTAACTCACGTGGTGCTTCCTGTATTGCTAGTTTTTATTGACACAAGGTCTGTTGTTGTGAAGGTCACAAAGGCCCAGCCTGCCTGTGTCATTCAGAGAGCTGCACACCCTGTGACATCATAAGAACGGACCTTGGGGCATAATGACATGTGCAAAAGAAAACCCAGCTGTGCATACTGGCCATAGTGTGGGGTAGAGCCTGGGCACTTTTTCAGTTTCCACTGGTAATCTAGTGGCGATATCTGACAAAATGTGGATATCCAAGGTGATTTTTTATATATTTTATATTTATTTCACAGGCTTTAGTAGAACTATCTTTAACATTGACACGAGCTGCATCATTGACATAACGGAAACTTTGCCAAAAATAAACCTTCACGTGCACTTTTGTACCATTTCTGGATTAAACGCAAACTTTTTTCCTACATCTGTGTTCGCTGGACAGGGCAGTTGGCAGTTAGCGTCACAAGAGAGCGGTAAGACACCACAGCCAGGACGCTGTGATCACCCACCACATCTGAATTAAATAGGCTGAGATATCAAGTAGGACAGAGAGCAGAATGCAGGGCAGTGCTGTGACCCTTGGCAGTGGAGCGAGTTGGACCTCCCCATCAGGCTCCCCGTCACAAAAAATATCCAAAGAAAAGGTCACATTTATTTTGGCGTCATCAACAAGAAAACTTACCATGGACAAATCTGGGCATGTTCAAACACACACACACACACACACACACACACACACACACCCAGAAGGAGCGCTTCCTGTTTATAATGCTGCAGGGCCTCCATTCTGTGGAATAGGCTGAACACCAGCTGGGCAAAACGCATTATGTAAAGATCTTGAGTTTCTGATGTTTGGATTTCTGAGCATGACTAATTCAATGACCCACCCTAACCCCTCTTCACTGGAGTGGAGCATTTAAGTAGAGGAAACATTTTGATCAACGATGATATGAAATAATCTCTTTATTCAGCTTTTGAAAACAGTTCCAGTGTTTCGGTGTTCTTATGATGAACTTTATTCCACGAGAAGGCGGCTACATGCCTGACGCTTGTGCTCTTGACCAACAGGATGTACCGCAGCAGAGGCTGAGCGTGTCACTGTGTCCCGGGTGGCCGTCACACGCCACACAGCCGGCGCATGCGGTCGGCGTGACCCTTGGCACACGATTGTTCAGAACACAGTCCCTCAACACATGTCTGACGGAAAGGTCATACAGACTGTCCTTTGGGGAAGTGATCAGAGCCAATATTTGGAGAGGAAAATCCTGGTCTTTCCTCACATGTTTTAAGAAGCAATGTGCTGACTAACACTGAAATATTAACACATGCAGGTACACTCATGTAAAGGAGATGCACACACTCATTTGCATTCAAGCGCACGTGCTCAAAGGATGCACAGACCTGTTCACACTCACCCACACATGCAAAGAGCATGCATACATGTAATTAGACTCACACACACATTTACACTCACCCACATTAGCAGAGAACATACACATATGTATTCAGACTCACACACATGTGCAAATGATGCACACATGCATTCACACACAGTGATTGAAAGGTTGCTGGTTCAAATCCTCGACCAGCAAGGTACCACTGAGATAACCTGAGCCAGGTACCGACCTCAAGCACTGCTCCCCAGGTGTAGAATTAACTGCCCACTGCTATGTCACAAGGTCACATATGGGTTCAATGCAGAGGACACATTTTGATCATATCTCTCGGCTGGCCTGGAAACGTCTCGGCATCCCCCCCCCGAGGAGCTGGTAGAGGTGGCTGCGGAGAGGGAGGTCTGGGTATCTCTCCTGAAGCTGCTACCCCCGCGACCCGAACCCCAGACTAGCGGATGGTAATGGATGGATGGATGGCACTGTGTGCTGTGGTGAGTCAAGAAGGACAATTAATCGCTTCACGTGCACATGTGTAGAAGGTACATGCTTGCATTCCCACACTTGTGCAGAAGATGCATGCATGAATTTCCGACGTATGTACACATGCACAGAAGATACACACATGCATTCACACTCATGCACACATGCACAGAAGGTGCGCACATGCATTCCCATACTTGTGCATGCATTCCCACTCACACACAAGCTCGCATTCACACAAGCTTGTCCCATGGACCCATATACACAGATGGGGGAAAGAGGCTCCCAGCCGGTATAGTAACCCAAACACACGCATATGGGGGTTAGAGGCTCCCAGCCGGTATAGTAACCCAAACACACGCATATGGGGGTTAGAGGCTCCCAGCCTTTACAGTAACCCAAACACACTCTTGCATGCTGGAGGGATGTGGCACAAAGTCAGTCCCACAGAACTGCACACGGACAGGGGGAATAAGGCTCCCAGCTTGTCCTGGGGACCTACAGTTGCGGCAAAACTCTCTTGTGAAACACTCACTGTCTGCTCCACAGGCAGGAAGCTGAGTCTGCCTCTCCTCTGTCTGTCTTTGTACATTTGGGTTATTCCCCTCTGAACACTGGGGGGGCGGAAAGAGAAACTATTACTTATTGGAACCTTCCCCACTCCCACTGAAAAAGCATAAGTGAGCTCAGCGCCCATCACTTGAAATCTGAAAAAGCTCCAGGCATCAGCAAAACACATCAGCAGCAACAGTTCCACAGAGCAAAGGCACGTGAGTGTGTGTGTACTGTGCATACACCGTGTATGTGTGCAGTGTTTTTATGCGGTGTATGTGTGCAGTGTGTGCATACACCATGTGTGTCTGTTTGTGTGTCTCTATGTGTGCAGTGTGTGTACAGTGTGTGTGTGCAGTATATATGTGCAGTGTGTGTGCACTGCGTGCGTGCATATACCGTGTATGTGTTCAGTGTGTGTATGCAGTGTATGTGTGCAGTGTGTGCATACACCGTGTGTGTGTGTCTGCAGTGTGTGTATACACCATGTGTCTCTGTGTATGCAGTGTATGTGTGCAGTGTGTGTGGAAAAGTGTGTGTGTACAGTATGTGTAAACACCGAGTGTGTCTGTGTATGCAGTGTTTGTGTTTAGTGTGTGTGTACAGTATGTGTATACACCATGTGTGTCTGTGTATGCAGTGTATGTGTGCAGTGAGTGTGGCCAGTGAGTGTGTACAGTATGCGTATACACCGTGTGTGTCTGTGTATGTGTACTTATCCCGGTACTCTGCAGAGAGAGACAAAGAGTACTGCGTGCCGCTGAGGACCGGCCCACTTCAGGCACAGTTCCAAGGGCTTGTCCTGGTGATTTCATAAGCTGTAAAGCGTAACCCTTACATACTGAGATTATTATTTCTATATTGATATAAATAAACCAAGTGCATGGCATGAACATAGACTATGAGCAGTGCAGGCAGCACAGGCTGCGGAGGCGGGGTGCCTGTGCATACAGAGGTTGTCTTGGTCCGTCTACGGGCAGCAGGCAGTGAACTGAGGTCTGGAAATAATCAGCGCAGGGACCCTCCCCATGATGAGAAGAGAAGGAGGTGGGGGATGGGGAGCGTACACTGCCTTAAACACACCCGTATGTATATATCACACTCACAAAGTCCTATAAACACACCAGAATGTGTATCTCACCCACCCACCAAGCCACACACACACACAGAGTCTCGTATAAGTGCAACCGTGTTAACATTTATATACGTATTACAATGGCTACCCCATATACATAACACACAGAGATACATTCCTATAAACACACTCGCAAATGTATCGCACAAAAGCACGCGTCTGATTCACTCCCACACCCAGACTCACTCCCGATCCAAGTTGTTGATGGGAAATAAGACTTGATTTTCCTTTTTATGACGTAACGCACAATGGCTCTTACGGCATTGCATTACACATGATTCACTTCAATATGTTACACAAATTCTCGTATGAATGTCTGAGTGCTGGCGTTTATCTTTATTCCCGCAGTTATTATGATTATTATTATGTTTCTTTGATGTTATTATGTTTGTTACTAAGTTTCCGGTCTCCCCCTTTGATGCCCCGGTGCTTTTCACTCGTTATCCCCCGAGTCTCGCACTTTGGCGAAGCAGACAAAGTAGGATCAAATCCAGACACTTTTTAAACTTTGTATTAATCTTGCCGCGGCTGTACCACCACCCGCAGGGGGGAACCAGACGGCCCCGGTGACTTTCGTTTGCATTTAAATGCAAGATAGCTCTCTCTGCTCGAGCTCCGGTTCCTAGTGGTGGTATTCTGAAACTCAGTGCCGACACAATTTATATCCAGCCTTCCAAAGTCCATCTCACTGGCCAGGTTGAAGCGGGCTCCCCCCATGTGAAGTTGGTGCCGTCCTGAGCGACCGGACCGGTCCGTCCCGGGGCTCGGCGGAGCCGCTGGGGAGGAGGGGAGGTCCGTCTTGGGGGCGTCGTTCTTCGGCACAGCCGCCGTGGTGATGTTAGTCTGGCGGCCGGAGCGACGTCCGTTTGTCCGAGCAGCCCGCTGAATGGAGCCAGGGTGCAGGTCAGTGATCCTCGGGGAGGGACGACTCTACCGCGGGGCAGATTGGCTTGGAGAGTGAGTTTGGAGCGTTTGGTTCTGCTTTGGCTTCGCTATCATGGACCGCAGGAGTTCTGCTGTAGGAAGCGCTCAGCCTTCTTCACCGGTATCTTTAAAGTCACTTTCTGTGAAGTTCCTTGGACCGGGCTCAGTTACTAGTCCAGGTGTTTTTCCACGTACGGTGTATTTTAAAGAAATAAATTAACGATTTGGTGCCGATCTTACAGGTTATGGTGCCGTTCGCCCAGGACTGCCCCAGGAATGCCCAGTTTACTGCTACTGTACCTAGTGACGGCTAATTTAGACTTGGTTAGTTAAGTTTGACTTGTTGATCCCACCATGGAATTGACGTGACAAGAGGGTCAGTGCAGGATTTGGGGAAAAGTTGCATGTAATGGGGGCTGGGGAATAGGCGCAGCATCTCTGTGTGTCTGCGTGGTGGTGCTTCTGCAGAGTGGTGCGTCTGGATTTGCATTCGTGCCTGCGCGAGCCTCCCGTGAAGAAGGCATGGTCACTGGCCCTTGTGAACCCTGCTGCTCCACTGGGAGGCAGCTTTGCTGTCCTTTTGCCTGGTAGACACATTGTTGCAGAGTAAAATAGCTTCTGGGACATTAAGGGTAACACATCAGTTTCTTTGTTCATAAAGACTTGGATGTTTGTTAAGCTGCAGATTAGCCGTTGGGGTTTGTGGATCTTTACTTACCTCTCCATTGTGTAAATAGAGACTTGCACATACAGACGCCTGGGAGAGTAAATTAAATCTCTCCCACTCATCCCACTTGTCTGCTGTTGAAGTTTTCTGTACTTAATTCATATCCTTGCTGTCTCTTATAGTCAGGGACCATAACTCAGTGGTGGGTTGAGTTTTATTGTAGTCAGAAGGACCCATAGGAGGTTCTGTGTCATAATGCACTGTGTGCAGATACCATTATTGGTTAATAAAATAGACTGAATTCCAGTAAAATTAATTACACATAAATTTGCATTTCAAATAATCCAAGCGTATGGGTTTTGTATTTCAGGATGAAGGCTCGATTGGTATTGAAGTGCAGTATAAGGGCTCGATGGGTGTTGTAGTTCTGTGTGAGGCACCCTTATGGGTGTTTGGTATTGGTGAAGGTTGGGGCGTGGTCTGCTAAACATGTATGTAGGTTAGCATAGTCATAGTCATGGGTTGTGCGTCTCTGAGAGATGACATTGCGTTATAGGTCATGCTAAATGGGTGTGTGCATGACTAACTCATAAAATATACAGGATTTGTGGGCATGCATAAAAACAGCAATTCCATGTTTCATAGGCATGTTTCTAAATGAATTTAAGCTGCCTGTAAGTCTGAACATTCTGGCTCAGTAGCCCGCATACCTTTTATTAGGCACAGATGGTGGTGTAATTTGCATCAAGCCACTAATGAAATTCTACATTGCAGTAGAGTTTTAAAATGGTGTTGGAAATCGGGTGACCACCTAATCCTTGCCAGGGGGACACTCTGAGCTGGGACAGGGCTTGCAAACTACCATTTCAAATAAAAAGGCCTGGATTTCAATTTAGCAGCTAGTTCTTGTTGCGTGCTGATTGGTCAGTCTCCTATAATTATGCATGTGACACTAATTTTAATGTGAAACAGCTGGATGAATCTTTCAATCAAGGAAACAAACTAATAAAAGCGCAATAAGAATTGAACTAATTAGCTGAGCACAGGAGCCTTTAAGTTTTATAAATGTCTGTAAAATCTGCAGTAGCTCATA